CCTGACTTCACAGGGCCGCCCAACAGCATGTCTGTAAACGGGATTGGTCCTATGTAACCTGGTAGACCCATGTGAGCTGTAATCGTTCACTACTGTATGCAGGAGAGCCTGTGGCTGTCAACTCACTGGAAGCTGTGGGAGCCCAGGCCCTGAGACTGTGGGGTGTGCTAAGCCGTGTCCTTTCGTCTGTCTTTGTCTTTAGACCTTCTTAAGAACCATGGGAGAAGTTCTTCTACTTCCCAGCTGGACAACTGTGTCAGAGGTAAGGGAACATTCTGGTCTCTGACACGTGTCTTCCTCGGGGACAGGAAGTGGCACAGCATGGCTGGACTCACATCTATGAAAGAAACGCTGTGTCCCTCAGTCCTGAGATGGAGGACATTCGTGTTCACGTTGACAGGACAGTCACTGGCTCAAGAACGCCGGGGGTTCTCGATGGCCCCAGCCCGGCGTGAGCCTCTCCTCGGGACAGGCCGTGGCCCTCAGACGTCAGACAGGGAGCGCGCTGCCTAGCTTCACGGGTGGAGCTTTGCTTTCCGTTTCACATAGTGTATTTTTACCCTCACGTCTTTCTTGAATGGTAATAAAACAACCATGTTTGCCACTGAAAGACTTGAGTGGGAAAGGGGCACCACGCACCATGTTCGTTTTTTCTAAACAGAAAGCTCCCCTCCTCTCATCCGGCACTAATTCAAAAGGATGACGGGTCGCCTGGGTTTTATTTTCAAAAGTAGCTTTAATTGATTTTACTTATTTAGAAATGAAAACAAGTCAGCGTGTATCCCTACACACTGCTGGAAAATGCATGTAATACAGCAATGTGTTAAGTAGACTTCAGCTGAGGTCCTGGGACCAAGGGAGAGGCATTGCTGGCAATCGCGTGTGTATCCCTCTAGTCTGTGTTTCAACTTGCTTATCGACATACATGTTTTGCAAACACACTGTCCATGGGATTTACCCAGATTTCCCTCAGTTATGTCAGAAACATTTTCCAGCAATTGTGCAGATTCTCCAATAGCACGCAGTGGGGCGGGTCCAGGTCCAGCTGCGGTACCAGGAACTCCCCTGCCCTTGGCTGTCTCTGGTGGCAGGGCTCCTCTCTCTCCGATGAATGGGGATCCTGGCTCTGCCCAACTCCTGAGGCTGTGGCCTCGATGCGTGACGCCCCACTGTGCAGTGTGAAGTGCTGATTTCCCAGAACCTTCTCCAATGCCTACAGTGCACTCACCTTGGAGAGGCACAAAGGCATCCCGCCCTCTCACGAGAGAAATGGCACGGGGTTAATGCTGGTAGGATTTACTGAAACTTCAAATGGAGTGACATTGATTAAGGAATGAAAAGGGATTATGAATTTAAGACGGACAGGATGTTAACCAGAAACAGCCTCTTGTTTAAAGAGAACAGCCATCCAGAGCTCTTGATATTATGGGGACACTGTGCTCAGAGCCTGGGGCATCCGGCATGGCCGGAGGGCGACCCCAGCACACACAGTTTTGGCCTCATTTTAAACTAACCAGCTGCTTGTTCAGGAAGG